CGTTCCGTTTGGGAAGCCACTGAAATAGTGGAAGACACCCACAACTGCAACCATGAGGACGCGTATAAATTGGGTACTGCCAGGTCTCATCGCTTTTCCTCCAAACCTTCTTCTTACCCACACTGCCCTTTCCATTGCATATCACCGCGCCCGCAGCATCATTCACTCTGAAGATGGCGACTACATTGTACGCCGAAACTCTGGAGTCACTTATACCCTCTAAGCTGCTAAAGCCAGAAACCTAAATTATATATTAATAATGGTATAATTTGGTATTACTAAATATCGTAGAGCAGAGAAGAGCCTGTGTAGCGAATGGCCACTGGCTGAGCGGTCGAGGGGTCGGGGTTCCTCTCCACCCCGCATAGCGCCTACCCAGCAGCTTATCAAAACGTACCGGGGACCGCTCTCCGGTGTTAAAGCTGCAGGGGCGCGCAGGTTACCACTCACCTAAAACTAGCGCCAAGGTCAAGAATATGTGGATCCACACATCTACTCCCGCATACGTCTTCATGGCGTAGACCTTAACTAACTGAGCACAGGAACAACTTGGCATTGGCCATAGAGCATACCGATGATGTCGAGAAAGGATTTATTTCACACTGTGCTGGGAGAAAAGTTGAACTTAACGTGTAGAAAGTTAGCATGCTGTAGGGGTCAAAGTGAGGACGTTTGCTAACTGGCAAAGGAGAAATACGGAAAAGGATTTCTAACTATACAAATGGAAACGATGATCCTTTTAAAACCAGTAGTGTAGGGAACCCTTTTCATGTAATTCGGCAGAAAAAGAAACCTTCACTCTTTTAAAGATCGTAGGTTATTCTGTAAAATGGAATTCGTGGATTTTTTTATTGCTTCCCAAGAGAGAAATGCACGAGTTAGGAATCAGTAATTGACAGCGACGAAAGAAATACACCAAACAAAGTAAATTCTCCCTCACAAAGAACGGTCTAAACTGTTGTGCTCTTTCACTGTCAGATCGTTCACATAATAAAAGGAGCACTGTTTTGACAGGAAATGGGTGCAGATAATCACGTTATTGCTGCGTGCTGACGTATTTTATTTTATTTATTTATTTTTGCCTACCGACCGTCGGACGTGATTGATTAGCACTCCTGCGTCACATTCTAGCGATCCAGCGTTCGATTTTTCATCCAGACGCTGACTATTCTGACTGAAGATTTTCGCTGTCTCGAGTCGTTTCGCCCTGTGTCTGACATGCTTAATTTATTGCTTTCCTTATGTTTTCAGCAGAACAAATGGTTACTTTAACAGCCGCCTTTAAATCGATTGATTATAAAAGCGAAATGTGGTGTCTTGGATTTTGCGACAGGTTTCAGAATTATTAAATCTGTGGGCTTAGTCCTACTGAACTTTATAATGGACACCATGTTATTTTAAAGCAGCCAGTTCATAAGTCGCAAATAATATAACAAAAAGCAACATAAGTTGGGGAACAAAGAAATGTTTTAAATAATAATTAAGTTATTTTAGTTTGTGCTTCACAACTGGAGAGAATCCAATTACAAGCAAACATTAAAAGGAAACAGCATATAATAATTCAATTCAATTCTTTATTACTTATGTGCCGAGTCAACGCCCGAAGGGCCAATTACAGACAGAGCACAGTGCAGATACAAGTATGTACATACAATTATGGACAATCACAACATGAAGTCAAAGACAAATTACAGGCAAGTTCTGGAGGAAAAACACATTAATGCAAACAAGTAAACAAACAAATAATGATAATAATTTCATTAACATAGATCCAAGTTTTTGTTGAGAACTGAGAAATGAAACGTATAAATATTTAATCGAGAAATGAAAAATATAGAGTTTCAGAGAGGATAATAATAATAATTCAATTCATGTTTATTTACGTGCAAACTTAACAGCACAGAGGTAAATTACAAAGCTAGCACGAATAGAGAAATACACAAAAATAATTAAAAACAAAATATAAAAATGATAGTCTATATTAGTACGAGTAATTCAATTCAATTCTTTATTATTAATGTGCCGAGTCAACAGCCGCAAGGCCAATTACAGAAACAGCACAGTGCAGATGAATGAATTACATTATAGACAAACTTATTAAAAGTCAAATACAAATTACAGGTAAGTACTTGGAAGAAATAATAATGAATAAAAGTAAAAGTAAACAAACAAATAACTTATAATTATAACAGTAATAATAATTTCATTATCGTTAAACTAAGTGTTATTACGAATTGAGGAATGAAACATAAATATTTAATTAAGAAATTAATATTATAGATTTTCAGAGGATAATAATAATATACGTAATTCATTTTGTTTTACTGGACATGCAAATAATAAAAATACTAACAGTTATACTATATTTAAAATTTGTTTGGGTAGAACATTCCTGGCTCCGAATACGTCAACATCCCTGCAGACAACATTAGCAGCTGCTGCACATCTAGCAGAGGGACAGTTTTTAAACAAGGAGCAAACATTGAACAATGCAAAATCTCTGATATACCGAGCAGAAACTCGGAGACCAACAATTTCTAGGACAGAAGGGCAGAATTTCGAGCCAAAATAAACTTGAATAAGAAAGAGAGCATCAAGGCGATGTCTCCTAGTATATAAGGCATGCAATTTTAACTCCTCAAGAGCAAGAGAATAATTGTAATGAACTTGAATACGTCAACATCCCTGCAGACAACATTAGCAGCTGCTGCACATCTAGCAGAGGGACAGTTTTTAAACAAGGAGCAAACATTGAACAATGCAAAATCTCTGATATACCGAGCAGAAACTCGGAGACCAACAATTTCTAGGACAGAAGGGCAGAATTTCGAGCCAAAATAAACTTGAATAAGAAAGAGAGCATCAAGGCGATGTCTCCTAGTATATAAGGCATGCAATTTTAACTCCTCAAGAGCAAGAGAATAATTGTAATGAACTTGAATACGTCAACATCCCTGCAGACAACATTAGCAGCTGCTGCACATCTAGCAGAGGGACAGTTTTTAAACAAGGAGCAAACATTGAACAATGCAAAATCTCTGATATACCGAGCAGAAACTCGGAGACCAACAATTTCTAGGACAGAAGGGCAGAATTTCGAGCCAAAATAAACTTGAATAAGAAAGAGAGCATCAAGGCGATGTCTCCTAGTATATAAGGCATGCAATTTTAACTCCTCAAGAGCAAGAGAATAATTGTAATGAACTTGAATACGTCAACATCCCTGCAGACAACATNCCCCAGCCTTTTCACGTAACGTCCGGTGTGCCGCAAGGCTCTGTTCTGGGGCCTTTTCTTTTCAACGTATTTATAAATGACCTATGCGTCTCCGTTAACTACTGTAAATTTCTAATTTTTGCCGATGAACTAATTATTCTCCGTATTATTAACTCTCCACATGATTGCCTCTTACTTCAATGTGACATTAATTCCTAAGTGACTGGTGCACTGCTAACTCCTTGAAACTTAATATTGCTAAACGCGTGTTGTATCATACATCAGAAAAACAAATTTTTTGAGCTACGAGTATCAGCTTTGTCATGCTATCATTACACGCACCAGCAGTATTAAAGACTTGGGTGTTTTCTTTGATTCAAAGCTACATTTTCACACACATGTTAATTACATATTTTCTGAATGAATAAAAGTTTTAGGCCTTATTCGCTCCATTACCTACAGGTTTTCCTCCATGGAGAGTCTGTATGTACTATATTTTACTTTAGTCGGGTCCAAGTTGGAATATGCCTCAGTAGTTTGGAACTCCATCACCTCGACTGATGCCAATAAGCTTGAGCGCATCCAGCAGAAGTTTGCGTACTTCTGTTTTTATCGTTTTCCCCCTCATATATTCCATATAATTATACTGATGCTTTAGAGGAATTAAGTCTACAATCTTTACATAAACGGAAACATCACCTTGAGGCACTTTTTGTTGTTCAGGTCTTTCGTGGTCTTAAATCCTGCCCTTCTCTTTTGGAAAATGTTAGCCTTCGTGTTCCTCCCAGCAATCTTAGGGACTTCTCATTGCTTGGTGTTTGTCCCTCTAATAAACACTGTCCTTCTGCTAGGTGCATCTATGCTGCCAACGCGATGGGTAAAGATCTCGACATATTTGCAATCGGAACAGTTTCTGTCAATCATATTTCGCATGTAAATAAACAAAACGTTGGAATCAATTAATATATTTATACATTGATCCATTAAAAGTTGAATAGTTTTCTATTTTATTGCTGCCATGTCTATTCCAATCAAATTTAAATTGTATATATTTTAATTTTCTTACTTCTCAATGATAGGTTTGATTTATATTGATAGAGTTATTATAATTATTAATTGAGTTATTATTATTAATTGTTAATTATTATTATTAATTGTAACTCTGTAATTGGCCACCAGCTGTTGAGTACAGCACGTAAATAAAACCAAGAATTGAATTGAATTGAATTGAATTACTACTACTATTATTATCATTATTTTTATTAATTTCGTTATTATTATTATTATTATTGTATGCTGCTCTATTTGAAACTCAAATTCTCACATTGTGGCTTTGTCTATGTATGTTTGCTTCTGTATCTTATTCATGCTTTGTAATTAATATAGACTACAATTTTTGTATTTGGTTTTTTCATTATTTTTATGTATTTCTGTATTCGTGTTAGCTTTGTAATTGGCCTGTGTGCTGTTAAGTTTGCACGTAAATAAACATTAATTGAATTAAATTATTATTGTTATTATTATTTTGCAAATATAGCATTTTCTCCCTGCTTTATTACGTACACGCCGTTAAGAATGTATGTTCCACACATTTTTAACATTGGCCCAAATGGAGGTGCATGGTCAGGTCACACACCGTCCGCTTTACCCAGGAAAGGCTCTCCCATTTCCAACTGGGTAGTAGCGACCATAATATAATAACGATGGTTAAAATTCAAGTAACAAAACTGCGCCTCCACCTCAGACTCACAATATAAGAACGGTGTTGTCTGTTGCTTTTCCAGAACTGGGACGTGATCAACACAGCCGTGCTAACAGGACGTCAGGTTTCTCAGGCCATGAAAGTGTTCATCGTGAGTCAGGCAGGCAAGGTCGCAGACGTCACCCTGCAGTCATCCTGTCATTCAGAGGACGAGAGCGTGCTCAAGGTAAGATGTGTAGACCTTCCTGTTTTGTTGAGAAATTCTTGCCTATTGCTAATTGATATTCAGCCATCCTGCTATTGTGAACCTTACAACTGCCCAGTGGGTAATTAAACCACTGCAACCGTATTCAGCTACAGTTTATATTCATGCTGTGACTTAGAAGTAACGTATCACTGGATATAGGAGGCCCAGAATTATTCTTGAGGGGGTAATGGGTAACATATTCTAATCCAGGCTTTCCCTCTTGTACACTTTGCCTTAAAAATATGTTGTGTTGTGTTATGAATAGGGACTGGATTTTTATGCCCTAATAATCCCTTAAATATGTATGCATTTGTGCAATAAAAACTTCCGAAAATATGCACATAAAAAATTATACCAAATATTAAAATTGATTTTACATTATTTTAAGACTAACAAATCAATATTTAAGTTAATTTTGTGTAATCACTGAATGATTCATTTGCAATAAAAAGCCATACTTAAATACAAATCATGCAACAAAGCCAACATATTTCATTACAAATTTAGAAAAACCAATGGTACTCACATTTAGCTCTCCGAACTTTCAACTTCTCTTCTTTTGCAGTTCAGAATTACTAAATGTTCTAGGTTTTCCATAGTTAGTCGCCTCCTGTTGTCTCGTAAGATGTCCTTATAGCGGGAAAAACTTCTGTCCACCTCACAGGAACTTAGGGGCGCATGTACAAAAGCCGCTATTTGCTCCACTGTTAGTGATTTTTTACTTGGCAGTTCAGTACGTTTACCGGCTAAAATTTCTTCAATTTCACAAATTTGTTCATATCCTGGATTTTTTTAAAGAATGCTGTGTACTTTTTCCTTTACTACTTCACCAACTCTTCCAGGAACCGAATTCAATTTGGAAACAGTGGTTTTGAACACACTTAACGACTGATACAAAGTAGTATTGCTATTGCTTGCCTCCAGTGAGGAAATGGCGGATGGAAGATGAGAGAAGTGAGCAGATATATAGGAAAGATTAGTTTCTAGTTCTGCGTTTTTTAGTACATCTTGGGCAATTTGAATTGATGCTGCACTTTTGGGATCAAATGTATTCACGACATTCCTAACTGTTTCTAAATGTTCGGTATAATAACTCGCTGCACACAGCCACGTGCCCCAGCGCGTTAAAATTGGTTCTGGCGGAAGTGGAACGCTCGGTGCTACTGCTTTAAAGGCTTCTTTTCTGTATGGCGCTTTAACAAATACCTTCTTCACAGAAGACACCAACTTGTCAACAAGCGGAAAATTTGCACGAATTGTTTCTGCAACACGGTGCAACCCATGGGCAAGGCAAGTCAAATGTGTCATATTTGGAAATATAACTTTAAGAGCAGTACCCGTTTTCATCATATAACTTGCGGCATCAGTCACAAAGAGCAATACGCGCTCATACTGAATGCCATTCGGCCATAGTAAATTCATGGAATTGATAAAAAATTCGGAAACTGCGGAGCTATTTGTGGTTTCAAATTGCTCTACCGCAAGAAGATATGGGGTAGATTGTTCATTCTTATTAAGGGATCCAACTATACAGTTTGCAATAAACCGTCCCTCACAATCTTGTGTTTCGTCGATTGATACCCACACAAAATTATCTTGAATCTTATCTCTAATGCTTTCAATTGTAAGATCGTAACACTGCTTCACGTAATTTTTGCGCACAGTAGATTCATCCGGCACTTTGCACTGTGTATACTTCTCTATGAAGTTTCTCAGAGTAGGACTGGTTAGTTTCCACAGCGGAATATCTGCCGCTAAAAAGGCTTCGCATAAATCAAAGGAAAACTGTGAAAAACTATTATTAGAAAATTCACTAAGCAATTTTTGAACAGGAGCACTTTTCGTGGATTTAATTTTAATATTCTCTTTGTGTATATTAGTGTTCAAATGCTGAAGCACTTGAAAGCGTTTTTCACAACCAACTGTTTTCTCACACGCTCGGCAATAAAGAATTTCGTTATCCGTACTTTATCATCTCTCCTTCGAACTCCCGCTGATACATCTGTAATTTAGTTTTCTGACTTACTTTCACTTTCGGCATGACTACAGAAAGCTAAACAAACTTAACTACAGACTAGTCACCGCTAATGTGAATGGCCCCCAGCTTCAAATGAAGAAGCGTAACGAACCTCCTGGAGACTTCGGAAATAAAAAAGTGAAGTCCCTTATCGGTTGAATAATATTACGTTGATAGCGGCTACATGTGAACGCTTCGGACTAATCTCTTCGCGGCCACTTTGATGGTACGCAGATGAGGCAAGTTACGAGTAGAGGGTTCGGGGAAGTCCCGTCCTGGGTATTGCATCAGAAACATGAATCATGACGAAATGTTGAGTCAAATGTGCAACATATTCTAACGCGGAAAAGAAAAATTGTATACACACGACCATAATCAAAAACATAAAATTAAAAAAAATATATATAATAAACATTTTAAAAGGGGGAAAATATGCAGTATAAATAGAGATCTTCGAAAATATGATGCTTATTCATAAGACATGCAAAATATGCATTTATATGCACCATCAAATCATGTCCAAAATTTAAGAAATGAAGTAATTCATACATATACCCAAACGAGCATACTTTCTGGTTGCAAGAAAGAAATATGCATTTGCATTAAAATCCGGTCTCTAGTTATGAACCATTACTTCCAACGGCGCCACCCTTATATAGTATAACTTCCGCTTCCGTTCTCTGATACTGGCCCACACTGTAGTTGGATCTTCATCTAACGGTAGCGAACTCAAATCATCGTTTATGTGTTCATATGTTGTTTTAATTCAATTCAATTCAATTCTTGTTTATTTTCCTGCTCACTAAACAGCTCAAATGCTAATTACAAAGTGAGCACGAGTGGAAGAAAGAAACAGAATACAGAGCACAAAACACAACAATTCATAACATCTGAGTAATGATGACAAAACTCAAAGTGACGATGACAGTAATAATACTTCGATTATGTTCGGTAATTTAAGTGCTTGTCAACAGCGAGTGGCCTATAACAGGCGAGCACTGAAAAGTGTACATAACAAAAACTAGATAAGACTATGTAAGATTTGAGGCTTTCACGGCGGTGACTATGAAGAAAGCAGTCTTCTTGGATTTGGCGCCGTGTATATGTGGTGTTAACCGACGTTTCGGAGGAAAGTATCGCCTCCATCTTCAGGGTAGAAGATTTCTTATATTTTTTCTTCTACCCTGAAGATGGAGGCGATACGTTCCTCCGAAACGTCGGTTAACACCACATATACACGGTGCCAAATCCAAGAAGACTGCTTTCTTCATAGTCACCGCCGTGAAAGCCTCAAATCTTACATAGTCTTATCTAGTTTTTGTTATGTACACTTTTCAGTGCTCGCCTGTTATAGGCCACTCGCTGTTGACAAGCACTTAAATTACCGAACATAATCGAAGTATTATTACTGTCATCGTCACTTTGAGTTTTGTCATCATTACTCAGATGTTATGAATTGTTGTGTTTTGTGCTCTGTATTCTGTTTCTTTCTTCCACTCGTGCTCACTTTGTAATTAGCATTTGAGCTGTTTAGTGAGCAGGAAAATAAACAAGAATTGAATTGAATTGAATTAAAACAACATATGAACACATAAACGATGATTTGAGTTCGCTACCGTTAGATGAAGATCCAACTACAGTGTGGGCCAGTATCAGAGAACGGAAGCGGAAGTTATACTATATAAGGGTGGCGCCGTTGGAAGTAATGGTTCATAACTAGAGACCGGATTTTAATGCAAATGCATATTTCTTTCTTGCAACCAGAAAGTATGCTCGTTTGGGTATATGTATGAATTACTTCATTTCTTAAATTTTGGACATGATTTGATGGTGCATATAAATGCATATTTTGCATGTCTTATGAATAAGCATCATATTTTCGAAGATCTCTATTTATACTGCATATTTTCCCCCTTTTAAAATGTTTATTATATATATTTTTTTTAATTTTATGTTTTTGATTATGGTCGTGTGTATACAATTTTTCTTTTCCGCGTTAGAATATGTTGCACATTTGACTCAACATTTCGTCATGATTCATGTTTCTGATGCAATACCCAGGACGGGACTTCCCCGAACCCTCTACTCGTAACTTGCCTCATCTGCGTACCATCAAAGTGGCCGCGAAGAGATTAGTCCGAAGCGTTCACATGTAGCCGCTATCAACGTAATATTATTCAACCGATAAGGGACTTCACTTTTTTATTTCCGAAGTCTCCAGGAGGTTCGTTACGCTTCTTCATTTGAAGCTGGGGGCCATTCACATTAGCGGTGACTAGTCTGTAGTTAAGTTTGTTTAGCTTTCTGTAGTCATGCCGAAAGTGAAAGTAAGTCAGAAAACTAAATTACAG